CCCCCCCCCCCAAAAACCTAGGATTAGAGGGCCGGGGATTTAGCTCAGTGGTGCCACCACCTCCCTCACAAGTGCAAGGTCCTGAGTTTGAGTCTCAGTACTCCCCCAAAAAACAAAACAAAAAACTAAGATTAGAAGTCCCATCTATTGACTCAGCTATTCCCCTGCTGGGTATCTTCCCAAAAGAATTAAAAGCATCATAGCACAGCGAAATAGGTGTACCCATGTTTATAGTGGCACAGTTTATAATAGCTAAATCTTGGAAACAGCCCAAATGCCCATCAACTGATGACTGGATAGTGATGATTTTTTTAAATAAAATGGAGTGCTATTCAACCATAAAGAATAATAGACAATGGGCTGGGGATGTAGCTCAGTGGTTTCGCCGCCTGCTGCGCAAGCACAAGGACCTGAGTGCGATCCCCAGTACCAAAAAAAAAAAAAAAAAAGAATAATAGACATTTATAGTTAAATGGATGCACATTGAGGCCATACTCTTAAGTGAAATAAATAGGACACGTGTAAATAGTGAATTGTTTCTCTGGTGTGAGAAATTGAAAGTGTAAATGAGGACCAAAATGTATAATAGATAATATGAAACAGGAAGAAAAGGTTCAAAGGGAAAGGGGAAGTAGGAAGGGAGGGTGAGGAAAAGGAAAGAACGGAAAGAAAAAAATATGAGAAAAGAAGGAAAAAGTGGAAACAAAGCTTTTGTAAATAGGAAGGGATAGAAGGGTGGAAGGGAGGGAAGAGGAATGCGAAAAAACAACAACCAAGATTAAAAAAAAACAACAGAACCAAGATATATCATGTACAGGTACAAATTCCCAATGAAGAATGTGATCATTGATAGCCCCCTACCCAAGTTGGGCCCCTGCCCAAGCAGACCCGCTACCCACATCCACAGAAGCATAGAAATAACAGGGAGGCAGCAGCTGCCCTGCTGCTCCTACCACCACCCTGTTTATCAGCCAGCCCCAGGCCCATCACCCATGGGACTCTAAAATTTTCCACCCTCTGGACCAGTGGCCTCTCACCTACCTAAACTCCCCCATATCAACTGCACACCCTCCTCTCAGTGCCAATGGTATTTTCGCCCTTGGCCTTCCTGCACTCAGATGCCAATAAACTCATCCATCACGTTGCTTGAACTTTGCCTGACTTGGTGGTCTCAACAGTGCCTCAGTCTGATCTTACAATCATAATGTATATCTAAAATGTACCAATAAACTTAATGAATTAAAAAAATAGCCAGGGATTTAGCTCAGTGGTTCCGGCGCCTGCCTCCCAAGCGCAAGTTCAGTGTTCTATCCCCAGTACCAAAAAAAATAATAATTTTTTCCTACTTTTAACCTCCATTGTTCCTAGAATTCATTCTGTGATTTTAGAGAACACGAACTTGTATTTTGGTTATCTAGCAGGTTGGGAGTTATAGTATTTCCCTTATTTGGAGTACTTGCTGCCCTGTATCACCAGGACTGGCAGGAGGCCTCTGACCAAGACAAGGCTGTGGTGTCAGAGGCAGAGACTGCTGCATTGCTGAGAACACACATGAGGACTGGGGCCTGCAGAGCTTGCAGGTAGAATAGTTTATGGAGCAAGATTCACAGTTCTTGGGTCCTGAAGCATCAGTTTTCTTTTCTTTTCAGATTTTTCTCATGTTTGACCCAAATTGGTATCTTTCTCTCCAGAAACAGACCTTCTCCAGCACAGGTGCCACGGAGTCTCTGTGGGTTTTCTTCCTGAGAATCCCTGGGGCTAGGCTGGGAGGTGGCGGCTTTGTGGCAGAACTTTGCTTAGGCAAAAACCTGTGTTCAAGACCCAGCACACACAGCCAACACCCCAAAACCCATCTGATCTGGGTGTGATGGTTAAGTGTCCGGATCCTCATTGCTCTGGAGGCTGAAGCAGAAAACTCAGCAAGACCCTGTCTCAAAACAGAATGCAAACAGTTTGCCAGGTGGCTCACTGATAGAGTGCTTGCCTAGCAGGTCTGATAACCAGCTCCACATAGGAAAAAACAAAAGCTGGTGTTGGTGGAACCTGGTTTTGCTGGTACTTAGGATTGAAGCAGGGCCTTGGAATTGAGATACGCCTTTCTCACCTCATTGTTTTTTGAGAGCGTCTCCTTATGCAGTTCAGGCTGGCCTTGAATTCAGTGATCCTCCTGCCTCACCCTCTCAAGTGCTGAGATTACAGGCATATACCAGCCACCACACCGGCCTCTCACTCTTTGTTTTGAGACAAGGTCTTGCTAGGTCACTAGATTGCCCATTGGCTGGGTTTGAATTGTGATCATCCTGGCTCAGCCTCTGAGTGCTGGTATTGTAGGTATGCATCACACCTGGCTTTGTTCTGTAATTATACAATAAATTACTTAACAGTCTCCTCAGAAGCATTCACCTCCGGAATTCTTGTTCCCACACCTTCTCATTTCATCCCTGAAGGTAGCTTTTCTCTTGACAAAGCTGCTTCATCAGTGTCCCCACAGCACACTCAGGAGCTGCTGCTAATATCAGAAGATGGGTAAGTTAACTAGATATCTAGTAGCAGTTAGACAGGGCCAGCCTGTGAGGAGCCAACATGGAAGACAATTGAGCCAACAGAGACAACAATAGAGGACAACTGAGCCAACATGGAGGACAGTGGAGGAGTCAATATGGAGGAAAATCAAGACACAGTCACTGAAGGCCAGCATTGTAAAAGAAGAGAAACTACCACATCTGCACAGGATGACTAGCAGTGATTGATAATCTAAATAGGATCCCTGAAGGGCTGGAGGTTTGGCTCAGTGGTTCCTCTGGGCACAAGGTCCCGACTCTGATCCCTGGTACAAAAAAAAAAAAATTCCATGATCCACCCCTTACCACTGAAAATCCTCACTCCTTGTACGCTTGCTATGTGACTTGCTTCCCCATTGGGTCCCCATTTAATCTATATTACCTAAGCAACTATACTTGTAATCTTATTGGTTGATCATAGTTTTGTTCACCTTGTGATTTCTCATTGGATCAATATTACCTAAGCAACTGTACTTGTAATCTTACCTGTTGACTATAGTTTTGTCCCACCTTGAACCCACCTTATCTCATGGCTTTGTCCCATAAAACACCTTTGAGAAGCAGGGTAAGTGGGTAACCCACTTTCAGGTCCCCCTTCAGTCTTTCTTTTTCTTTTTGGTACCGGGGATTGAACTTGGGTTCTTGCGCTTGGGCAGCAGGCAGCAAAACCACTAAACTAAATCCTCGGCCCATCCTGCAGTCTTTCTTAACAAAAGCTATCTTTCAATAAATTTTCCCTACTCTTAATCTCCACTGTTCCTAGAATACATTCTTCTATTTTAGAGAACTCATGCTTCGGATATCTAGCAGGTTTGGGAGTTACATCTATTATTGCCCCTGTATCACTATCAGAGCACAATTCTCTGGTTTTAAATTTTGTTTTGTTTTGTTTGAGACAGGGCCTCAGTGTGTGGTCCAAACTGGTCTTGATCCTTCGGCCCTCCTCCTGCCTCTGCCTCTGGAATGCTGGGATGATAAGCGTGCACCACCACGCCTCTCCTGATTTTAAAACAACCTTCAGTGAGATAGTTCTCCAGACTACAAGCAGATGCCAGAGTGAGGCTGTGTGGTGGCTGCATAATTTTCCTTCACACAGATAAAGATCAAGGCCCTCAGGTGTGGCAGTTTGACCCTGTGGGTCACTGCTGTGAGTTTAAAGCCACTGAGCAGGAGTTAAAAAGGTGTCAATCAGCATCCTGAGAGAAAATAGTGAGATTTGATAGAACATTTGAACAAAAAGCAGAAACTGCAATTATGTGCCTTTCTACTGTCCTATCGATTGAGTCCAAACCTACAGAAGTAGAAGGTGGAGCCACGCGTGCTGGCATTCCCTTGTAATCCCAGCACCCGGGAGGGAGGCTGAGGCAGGAGAGCCACCGTGAGTTCAAGGCCAGCCTGAGCGAGACCCAGTCAACAAAAAGGTGCAGTAACGAGAGGGTTGAAGACTCTAAATTCGGAGTTCTCACAGGAAAGCCTGGCGCTAACGCTGGCTCTCCAGCTCGGCGGCTTGGCGGGGTTCCGAGACCTAGGCCGTCCTACTGGGCCCCCCGTGGACCGAGCTCCTCCTTTTCCCTCCACGGGAGGGTCGGGGCTCTGCGGGATCAACGCGCGCCATGGGGAACACGACACTCAGCGAGGCCCCAGAGCCCCGGAGGCTGAGTAGGGAGACGCGCATCCGAGCCAGGCCTCGGCCTGGGGGGGGCTCCGTGACTCCCTCCCGCCCGTTCCCCTCCTCCGCGAGCGCGGCCCACGTCTCTCGCGCCACCCTTGCCCGCGGCGTGCTCAGCTCTCGCTTCCGGGATCCGTGAGGCGCCCAGCCTACTCCACGCCTCCCCTCCCCCACACCGGGCCCCACAGCGCCTGCGTCCCTCGTTCCACGGCCCCGCCCACTCCCTGTTGACCAATCCCAGGCCCCCATCTGGGCACGTCACTTTGGTTCCCTCGCAGCCCAGCCCCTGAATATGTGCTGTGGAAACTCTGTCCCTAGTCTTGGTCCAGGGGAAGATGGGATTCGGAGGAGGCTACCCGTGGTCACGCGGGCAATGGCGGTGGGTAAGGGGGGGCTACCGTGTTGGTCTTCCAGGTGCCCGGGACCGGAATTGCCAGGAGTGAGGGCGGATGTCCCGCCCCGCACACTGTGCAGTGGTTCCCTTGGTGACGGTAAACCAGCCTTGAGTGCCAGCGCTTCAAATCACCCAGAGACTCCGAGGGCCACCAGAGACCTCTGGGTGAGGCAGGCTCGCGGAGACTCAAAGACTCGGAGTCCCAGGTGAGAGGTGACCGGGGCGCCGAGTGGGAGGTCCGAGTGGGAGGTCCGCACCTGGCGTGGAATGGACCTTGATCACCCGGGGTGGCATCGTGGGGTCAGGGTTTAGGGTCCAGGACGCAGGATCCGAGATCCAGGGCCGCACCCCAGGGACTGACTGGAGTCTAGAGGTTGGGCTCACGGCCAGAGCATTGTTTGGCCTTAGTAAAGAAAGAGGCCGAGGCCGGGGATGTAGCTCTATGGCGCTGCGTCTCCCTGGCAAGCGCAAGGTCTTGAGTTTGAAAAATACCGAAAATAAATAAACTTTAAAATAAAAATTAACATATTAAAAAAAACGAAAGAGGCCGTCTCACCTTGGGAAGATAGAGACAATTGGAACCTGACGAGAGCATTTCTGAAGATGAGCGTCTCAGGTCGGGATGTTGTAGGAGGACCTGGAGGACGGCAGGCTGCACCCCTCTGCAAGGCCTCCTTCACCGAGTGAGTTGTGATGAAAACGGAGGCTCTTTGTCGGCCTGGCATGGTCGTGCACCCTTGTAACGCCAGCACTCTGGGAGGCTGAGGCAAGAAGATCCCAAGTTTGAACTCAGAGTGGGCAGTTTAACGAAAGTCTCAAAATAGAAAATAGAAAAAGGACTGGAATGTACCTCAGTGCAAGACCCTGGGTTCAATTTCTAGGAACAAACAAAAAAGGCTCTCTTCAGTTTTGTTTTTTGAGACAGTTCATTCACATAATTAAAGTCAGAAACTTGTACCAGCTTTTATTGCTCAGAACTTTGCATCTTTTGCTTATCTCTTGCTTCCTGCAGAAATATTTTAAAACCTTTAAACTTTCATCTCTAAAAGCTTTATTTCTAAATGGAAACAAAGCTTTTGTACCTAGGGAGGGGAGGGGGTTGTAGGGGAGGGGGAAATGGGGAAAAAAGAGGCGGGATGTATCATGTACAGGTGCAAATTTCCTATGATGAATATTACCATTATGTATACCTAAAATGTATCAATAAATGTCTCGCTATTTAAAAAAGAGCTTTATTTCTTCCACATCTCATGTGTCAGATCTTTTTCCTGTAACCTTCCTCCATCAGCTTCATTGAATTTGTGTATGGTATTCTGGTCTGAAGTACGTCCGTGTTTATTTTCTTTGCCTCCCCGTCTGCTCTGCGGCATGTGCTTAGTGCTTTCAGCCATTTACTTTTCTTTCCTTTTTTTTTTTTTTCCTCCCTTTTTTCTACTCATACCTTTAAATACAATTTGGGCTGGGGATTTAGCTCTGGTGATGCCGCTTGCCTTGCACGTGCAAGGACCTCAGGTTCGATCCCCAGTACCAAAAAAAAAAAAAAAGAAATACAATTTGGACTGATTCGTCTTGAAAAATCATCTCAGAAGAACCGAAATTTAGCAGTTTGAGGGTAAAGCCAGGGCTTTTCTCAGGCTGTATGTATTATCTTTATGATCCATTTTTTGTCTTTATTTTTTATTTTTTATTTTATTTTTGTGGACAGGGAATGAAAACCAGGGCCTTCACACTGAGCTACTGTATATTTTCAGCCCTTTTGCTTTTTTTTTTTTTTTTGGTACCAGGGATGGAATTCAGAACCTTGAGCTTGGCAGGCAGGCGCAGTGCCACTGAGCTAAATCCTTGGGCCATCATTTTGTTTTTTTGAGACAGGGTATTGCTAAGTTACCCTGGCTGGTCTTGAACTTGTGATCCTCCTGCTTCAGCCTCTCAGCATGCTCCAATCACAGGTATGGGCCGCCACCCCTGGCTATTACTGATATTTTTTATGTCTAGGTTATGCAGTGCTTTGTGGTGGAGTGCATAGGAGACAGTGAAATGCTGTGTAAATTCTGCCTTCACCAGGTCAGTTGAGTGGAAACACGTGTGTTGGATTTTCTATGAGTTTGTGTGACTTGGCAGGTAAAAGGAAGGGATTATTGCTAATAGTATTTTTTTTTCCTTTTTCTTTTTGCTCATAGTATTTTAACCTACCTATTGGTGTGTGAACCTATGAAGACAAGGGCTTATTGTAAATTTTCTTTCTTTTTTTGTATTAAATTCTTTTATTGGTACATTGTAGGTATACAACACAATTACATTTCTCACTGGGAATTGTACCTTTATATAATGCATC